TTGAAATGTTGATCTATAGCTCAGGATCCGAGTTGTTCAGGTGCCCATGAGGCCATGTCAAGTGATTAACAAATGTGAATATATCTATTTCAGCATTGCCGATGCATCTGCCGTGAAGTCAGAGAGTCAGGCGCCAGCCCAGGAGAAAGTCAATCGACCGCCGCAGTGGCAGGACGATTCGTTGAGCTCTTTGTCCATTGACTCCGAGGATGACACCAATTTGCTGAGTCAGGTGAGCGCAGTGGGAGTATCATATTAAATGTGTGAGCTAATCCGAATCTTCATTGAATTCAAGCAGGCTATTGCCGCCGGCTGCAATAGACCCAAGTCGAATCTGGGCTTCAGCGGCACGAGCGCAACGAGCAGCAAGCGCTCCAGCTCGCTGTGCTCGTCGTCTCAGCCCATAGCCATCAATGCGGCCACCTCGGCGTGCTCCTTGAATTCGGCAATGAGTGCGCGCAAGACGGTGCAACAGGAATCCTACAGCTCGGTGGACTCCAGCGACTCGAATGACAATCAGTCCAAGTCGCTCTTCGAGCTGTGCATTTTGAATGGCATGTACAAATCCAAGGAGCCGAGCAGATCGCAACAACTACAGCAGGAGCAGCGGCAGCAGCAATCAGCGGCACACTCAAATCCCAATCTGAAGCAATTCGATTCGCTGCCCGTGCAGTTGCCAGTGCAGTCGAAGCGGCAGCGTCATCACCACCATCATCATCATCAGCGGGAGCGAGAGCGCGAGCGCAAGGATGAGAAGTTGCTGCTGGAGTGCATCAATACGGGCATCTCGAAGAAAATAAATGCCGTGCCAAAAAACGGGCAGGCTACGTCTGCAGCTGCATTGGAACCGTGTCACCCAATGGCGGCTACTACATCAGCAAGTGTCCACAGCACAGCAGCAGCAGCTCCAGACGTAGAGCAGAAATCGCACGCACCATCAACCCATCAACACAACAGCCAACCGGCCAGCCAGCAGAGCCATCTGTCACCCAGGCACGGCATCGACATCGACACAGACGCAGCAAAAAGTCCAGCTCCAAGTCCAGAGATCGAGAACACGATCGATCACGCGATCGTTACTGGGTCTAAATTGGTCCTAGCGGATAACGAGGCGGATCGTTCCAGCGATGAGTCGAATCAATCGCTAATACTGGACACCACAGTGCGGCTGGATGAGATTCCGGATGACATCCGACCACGGACGGCGGACAAGCACAAGGATCCCGATCTGATGCTCAAATCTGTGGAGCGTCTCACATTGGAGTTTGTGACATCCGCCGAGCAATTGCGCACGGGCAATCACAGTCACAGTCAAAGTCACAGTCACAGTCAAAGTCATAGTCACAGTCACAGTCAGGGCAACACCTGGAACGAGCACACTTGTCCCAATGACGTGTCCTTCCCGAGCATTAGCCAAACGGCACCTGTGTTGGGTACGCTTAGCTTGGATGATGCTGATGTGGATGATATGGATGCGGATGCTACAGAGGCGCAGGATTTGCATGATTTTGCCGAGATCACGCCCACCAATGAGACGCAACTGCTGTGCTCATTGGGTGTGGTTAACGGTGATGCCAACTTCCAGCAGCCCAACTCCCTGGATAGTCACACTCTGAGCGACACGCTCACCGGGCAGTCCGAGCAGAGTCAGCAGAGTCTGTCGTCCGGCCTCAACTTTCAGCTGGGCGGGCAGGTGCAGAGCGCTGCGGTGCGCAGCTGCGAGCAGCAGCAGAGGCTGCTCCTATTCAATGGCACCAGCGCCTCCATGATGACTAACTCCACAATGATTGCGTACGAGGCGCGAGCTCTGGCCGACAATCTGCAGCTGCTGCAGACGTCCGATCCCGATAACAATGAGCACAACGATGACAGCACCCAGCTGACATTCAGCATCAATGGCAGCCTGGATCTGGACAATGTACGTCCGCCATCAGGCATGGAGTCGCTGAACTCTGCCTGCAATACGCAACCGAGCTCGTTGCGCCTGGCCTTGCCCACCAAATCGCCAAGGTTTGGACGCAAGGCCTTTCCAGCTGGTCTGGTGGCCAGACGCGCGCTTGGCCAGTTGGCGGGCAGTGCCGAGAGCGTGAACTCCAGCTGCAATCTGCTGGACAACATAAAGCCGCCATCGCTTATGGACGAGCTACTCGATTCGATGATCAGCGTGGACAGCATCCAGTCGGAGGTGGCGGACGCTGAGCAGGAGTGCAGCATGGCAACCACCATATCGGTGTCCAATTACGAGACGGCCGCTGGTGACGACCAGACACTGACTGTGCTCCAGAGCTGCTGTGACTTCGACGACGAGGAGGACGCCACCATGAACGAGGACTTTAGCTCCGCGGAATCAACTCCCAAGCAGGGCTCGACGCCTTCGCCGAATCGTCGCACTCTCACGCCCAAGCAGAAGCGTCGTCTGGCTAAAGATCGTTACAAGACCTACACCATCACGGGCAACGCCTTGGAAATTGTGGAGCCCAATGAAACGCTGCAGATTGAGATTGTGGAGGCTGTGCCTGCTGCAGTGGCCCCAGCGACGCCATCACCCCGTGCCAATGGACGACGGCGTGGCAGTGCCGAACGCTACAAGACGCAGGTCATCGACTGCCCTCTCCACCTGCTGCAGGATGATTGCCCCAGCGATCAGCTGTCCTCCATGCGCGCCATGATGCAGCAGTTCACCTACATCACAGACATCGACATTGGAAACTCCAGCGAAGCACCGGAGACTCACGCTCCGGCTGATGATCCACCCAGCTGTGACGGCGATCAGAACTCCGAAACAGAATCGTGCCACGGACGCGGCCAGTCGCCGCCAGTGGCCAAGGAGCTCACGCTGAAGCGGATGACTCCGCCGCCACAGCCGCCTGTCCTGGAGCCTGCAGCTGCTGTTAAGGTGGTGCGGGGACGCAAGAAGCCTGCCTACATCTCGCCCTACAGCATGCAGAGTCAGCGCAACAGCAGCGCAGCTGCTGCCGCCGCGGCTGCCAAGGCCAAGACGAAGACGCTATCGCCAACCATAGCTAAGCGCAATGCACTGCCTAGCACGCGGCTGCCGGCCAAGAAGAAGGCAACTCCGCCACCGGCACCCCCGCGTTTGGAGCGGCAGGGCACCTTTGTCAAGGATGAGCCCACTAATGTCAACGGACAGGTGCCCGTCGTGGAGCCAGTGAGTCCCACGCAACGCGCCTCCAAGCTGCCCACAAAGCGGCCAACAACAGCAGCAGCAACAACAAAGACCGTAGCAAAGGCAGCCTCACCCAAACGGATCATAGCCAAAGCAGCGCCTCGGGTGCTGCCGCCACAACAGAAACCGCAACAACGTGCCAATACCAATATACGCCTGGCCAGCGCCAAGGCAGCGGCTGCCTCCCGCGTGGCCGCCCAAGCGAACCGAATATCCAGCACGACTCCGCCCTCACGCAGCAATTCGAATCTGAATGGCGGCAGTGCCGCAGCAGCGGCATCGGCGGCGGCCGTCAAAATTAACCAGGCGCAGAGTCGCATTGCCAATATATGGAAGCGCGTGGATGAGGCCAAAACCAAGACGACAAAAACCAAGCAAATATCCAATTTGAGAACGCAACAAACAAAGTCTTCCAATACGTTGAACGGCAATGTGTCGCGGCCCACGCTCTTGCGCAGCTCCACGTTCGACAATACGCCGCCGGATGCAGCGGCAGTTGGTAGTCAAGCATCTGGAGCAGCTGCAGCAGTGGCCCGCTCCCGGCTGCCCATTGGAGGCGTGCGCAAATAGAAACGAACGCACAAAGCGAATCCCGTCTTGCATTTTCATATGGAAACAGAATCAAAGAAAGTTTATTATATATAGAACTATGTATGGCTTACATACCTATAGAGTATATACATATATATATATTTATAACTATATATCCTATGCTAGATTTGTTAGGCCTAGAAACAACCTAATCCAATTCACAGTCAGAAACGAAGAGCGTCTTGAATTCGGCTCCAAGTTCGTGTGTAGCCAAATGTATTGCATAATAATATTAATCTAGATATTATCTCGAGCCTTCTCAAGTGTGTACAACCATATACCCTATATAACTACTTACTAAAGATATATATCTATATATGTCATACGACATTTAAAAGTTGTAACCAAGCTAATTCAAAGCGGTTATATAAGGTTTATATGTATGTTACGACTTGTTAATCAAAACGCTCTAAAAATTATAATCAAAGAGAAGAAAACAAAAAATCAATTTTATATACACTTAGTAAGCGTATTTAGCCGTCGGCTTCCTTTCTGCAAACCAAATATTACTTTGAGAATGATTAATTTAAAACATTGATAGTCATTGCTTTTATATTTTAAATATAATTTTAAAAGTCTTTAGTCGGATTAAGCGTATTTGCATTCGGATTTGGACAATTTCGTATCGAACCCGAGAACTTGGCGATTTGTAGTTAGCTTTGATTTAAGCCCATTTACAATTCTTATTAAACATATATATACACATATATATTAATAAAAACGAAATGCTTTTCGACAAAACAAAAATTTGTATGTTTGCAATTCGAATAAACCTACCGAGGAAAAGGTGTATATAAAGGATATATTGGTCATGTTATCCCAGTCTAACACAACTTTGATGCTAGTATATCACTGACAAATTTTCTCGCATACAATAAGAATAATTTATATAAACAGTTTGCATACAACAATGCATTTGTATATTATTCACAGTATTGAATAATGAACAGGATTAATTTCAAGTATTTGGCTCAAATTAACGGTTGGGTTTTCACAGCGATTTATCGGTTTTCTTATTCACGGCCTGGGACTCTTGCATGGACTCATCGATAGCGATTGCTCACATGCACAACAACTCAGGTAACTCTAACTTCCGCAATTTGCTGTTTTCATTCTGCGGTCACACTGTGCTGGTATTTTAAGATATTTTATTAAAATAAAAAAAACAAGCCAACCAAAGGCAGTAAAAAGCAGCAACAGCAACGAGTGAGCTTAAGTGACAAACAAGAATATGTGCAAAAAATAAAAATAAAAAAATCAATGATTGTTTATGGGCGCAATATGCAGCTCGAGTGCTAAAAGACCTTGAGACACGGGTGTGCACAGTTAGGGCTGCTGTCTGATAGATTTTCAAGCGTCTATTTACATTGCTACCCCACCTGGAGCAGACAGGTGTTGTTGTTGTTGTTGTGTTGTCTGTGGTGGTGTTGCTGCTGCTGCTGTTGTCATCGATATTGTCATTGACATCTTCAGTTGGCAGCGCAGCGTCGCGTTTTATTGCACGCCTAAAGTGAACCCAATGTTGTATTTGTTAAATAACTACCAACACACGCACACACATAAAATAGATACATGCGTAGCCTAATCAGTGACTATGGTATTGCCAAAGATAACAGCCAGAGCGCATTCAGCTAATATTGAAGTCAGCGACAGAGCAAGCGCCTTTGCCCACGTTTTGTACACAGCTGGCCAACTGTGACTCAACATTGGCGTTAACTGTCGTTGACGTTGCCTCTGGCTTACCTCTGCCCTGTAGTAGAGCTTAAATATTACAATAGCTTTAGTCTCTGCTCTCGCTGCGCCGCTGTTGCTGCTTCTTTTATTCAAATATTGGAGGAAAAAAAAATCATCAATAAATCCAGTTGAACACATATTCGCCATAACTGTGATTCGTTTTATTTGAGGTTCACTGTGTGTGTTTGGTGCTTATTCAATTAATACGCTTGTCTCGTTTTACCGTTACTGTGCGAGTTATCGAGTTGCTGTTTTTTAATAAATGTATTCATAATATACAATATACACAGCACAGCCGTTGCGCCGCCGCCTAAATGATTAGTACGAGCAGCATGAGGTCACAGGAGTCGCAGGGTCAGCAGGCAGCCGGGCTGCCGCGGCCCAAAAACAATGCGTCCAGTAGTCAACTGACCCAGGAGGAGAACGACGCCGTATTCAGGCTGCTGGGTAGAAAGTGTCAGGTGAGTCAAGTGCCAAGTATGATGTGCGTATATTGGCCCTATGTAGATCATAGATATATGTGGGACATTCACACATTAATTCGCTGTGATTAATGCTCGAAACTCGACGACCCTTGCCGATCGTCACCTCTTCTACATAGTAGTGCGTCACGCATACATATGTACATACATATATAAATGACTACAGTGGACCATCTCCATGATAAGTTGTCAAATTTACATTTCATTTAATATAAGTTAAAATCTGTGAAAATATTTATGACAAAGGTGTCTTAGATTATTGTTGTGTTGTTAACAGTCAGTCCCATAACGTGGCTGCACTGTACAGTGATGTAATCATGCAAATACTATTGAAATATTGTCATAAAAAACATAATAAGCAGTAAAAAGCTATAAATATCTCAATCTAAAAAAAAATACCTATATTATTAAAACTATATACATATACATATTTTGCTATGAAGGAATAAATGATTGGTTGAATAATCATGGAAGTATTATATATAATAATAATCTGATATATTTTAATATACGATTGCCTATATGTGTTCCACTATACTGAGGCTTCACTTTGCATTATTTCATATGCAGCTTGATTAAGCATTTCCTGCGGGTGGCAGCTCAAGTAACACCCAAATAACCAAATGCGCTGTGCCAATTAAATGCGACGAAACGGACGAACGGACCTTGGTAATATTAGATATGTATGTATGTA